CTGATGTAAAAATGCTCTCGCTTTCGCATAGTAATTAATTAATTAAAAATTGATTACCAAATGTCTTCGTAAGTAGACGAGAAAAAAAAACTTTACCATTCAAACTGCATCTGTAATAACATTTTCGTCCAGACCAAATGCATCGTATTCGAACATGCACCCAAAATTTGAGTTTTTCCTATGGATATCACTGAAAACCTTCTCTTGGTAAACTGTGATCTCATCTGCTTACTCTAACCTTTTACTGATGAAAAAACTTGGTGTTTCATGATTCAGGAAATAAAGATATTTCTCTTCATTTAGGTAAAATCGCCAAAAAAAAGTAAGGTGCATATATGATAGTATTTGTTTTCTAGAGCGTCAGGGATGTTTATGAAACCACCTGGAATAGGAGACACTAGCTAAAAAATAATACTATTGAGCTTTTATCACCCACTCAAGCCAGATATATACGAACTTATCAAAATCAAAATTTCATCTTCTAACATATTCTTCGAAAGGATACTAGACGCCTATTTTTAACATCCTGATATTTTTCAGGGAACAATAAACGATAAAAAGGAGAATTAAAAATTGCACTGGTTTGTGAAATGATAGATTATTCTTAGTATCAATGAAATATACTGAATGATGAGTCATCATTAACAAGTCAAAACAGATATTTAAAACAATGAATGTAATACTTCTATTGAGGCTGTATAGCGCAATCGTGACAAAAATGTATGCAACTCATAACTTTTAAGACCCTCTTTTCTAAAGCTGCTGTTAATTACTAGCATCTTTTCAAATTAAAAGATTCAAGAAATATAACTTTTAATTCCCGAAAAAAACAGTAAAAAGTTTTAGAAAAAGACTTTTTCCTTTGACGATACAAGTAACTACCAATGCATGTTGTTCGGAGAGCATCCAGACAAAAACAAAAGAAAACCGAGAAATTCTGAAAGAATATGCATAAATGTAAATCTTCATTTCAGTGTAGTAACAAGTGAATTTTAGATAGAAAAGTACAGATAGTTGATTCGAGAAAAAAGGTTTTTGGAAAGAATTTATTGTTTTTTGTATAATTAAACTCATTTTATGTGATAGGATAGAAGATTCTTATCTCATTCATACATTGAAAATCCATTATAAGTCGTTATCCTGCATCATATAAAGCAAGTTTTCGACTAGGAATTGTTCCCATATAAAACAATATGACATCAAGAGTTCAATCTTATTCGACTAAATTATATATAAAAACCATTTCGAACACATGTTTATGATCACTGGTTCAATTTGTGTTCTGCGAGTAAAAACAGATTCTTTTTTTTCAAAAATTCTTTCAATAGCATTCCATACGGTATCCAAACTTGATTCCTGAAAGATAAAGACCTTAATCAACAGTTGAGTTTCAAAGGTTACAATATTTATTATTTGTCTAAAGAATTCACAGACTTCCATTTAGTGTTTATCAATCTTGAGATGAAGCGCTTTTTTGTGTACAGACAAAGACTAAAAGTAACAGATACACCACCATAGGAAACAAATCTTGAGTCATTTTCTCGATAAATAGCTGTTTTAGCTCCTTTCAGCCTATTTCTTGAAAAAATAGTGTGAAGAAATAATGACAGATTTGTAGTCAATGTAAAAATTCAAATCAAGAAAAATAGAATTGTGTTCGATGAAAAATTTGGTAAGCTCACGGTAAATCATCAGAAAATAAAATACTGAAAATTTCAGTTCAAGAGAATGCTTCCTTCCCCAGATGCTGCACACTCAAAAATAGTTGAAATCTTGTAAACAATGCTGAAGTTTTCTTTTTTTCATGATGTTTGTATCTCGAGAAAGAAGCAGTCTCTTGAGCTGAAGTTTTCAGAATCTTTTATTGGTAAATGGAGTTTCTTGCAGAGGAAAGGAATTCATCTTCAAATACTTATGTTTGGAACTCGGAAAATATGTGTTACAAAATCAACAAATAGTCGATACCAGTGTTTTACGACTCACTTTTCATTGTTGCTAGGAAAACTCTAAAACGTATTTAAGAATCCTTCTTTTGTTCAAGGCAGTGATTTGTATTGAAAAGAAAAAAGTGCATGTAAATTTTAGTCATAAAGTTGAAAAATTCAATGTACTTTTAGAAACCCTATGTGAATTTGTTTTCTTCATCTTCTTAATCTGTCCAGCTGGTAAGATTTGTCCATTGAGTATCACTTTCTTGCTCTATATTTTCAAATCTCCTATGTGGATACCAAAAAGTGCTTGCCCGGAAACTTTTCTGAGTTGTTTCATAGTGCACACATTTAAATTAAGAAGAATAATGTTTATTTTCAACGAACCTGATGGACAAAAATATGGTCTACCACCTCTATTTAGTGACTGTTTCCAATATTCTCCTTTTTCAGGATCTTCAGGAGACCAAATATATTTACGATTCCATGCAGGATCCATAAGTTTATGATCAATTGATAATTCAAAATCACCGAGAGTTATCGACTCGACTTGTCCATTGTAACTTGAACAACTTTGACGTACTGCTTCAACACGTGCTGCAGAATCCCGAGCATTTCCATTCAATCCTTCAATAACATTCTTGCCATATGGTGGCATTACGTATCCAATCACAATTACAGATCCTGATTCTACTCTAGTGATACGTATGTTTCCATCAGGAATAAGAAGAGCTTTACATAAAGAAGAGCTGAAATCTTGTACTAAATTTGAGTTTTGTGACCATTCATCTATATTCGCTCCTTCCAAATGAATGGAAACTGACAACTTTTCCACTGTTTGTTTTCAAGCAAACAAAAATATAATGAATAATAAGTTCAACAATGAAACGATATCATTAAATAACACGGGAAATCTGTCAATAGAACTTGTCGAGTTCTGCGCAAGAATACGCATGTTACGAATTTTTCAAGCAATACTTCACTAATGATTTTAAAAAGAAACCTATAAAATTATGAATATTCAAATGGCATTAAGCCACTATCCAGTAGAATAAATACCTATAACGAATTAGAATCAGTGTTAATTGCTCTAAGAGAAAGAAAATGGAATGACAAAATCAATTCGAATTGCAGGGATATAGACACATGCTTGATGGGTATATAAAAGAATGAGAAAAACAACTGAATTAACAAAAACAATCTGGCGATGATTTGGAACTTTATAAGATAAGCTGGAAAGAGATCAGTAACTCAACAAAATAATTAATAGAAATAGGTTCATAAGAGGATAGACAATATTGAATGGGTATTTAAGATCTCTGGATTTCATGTTCTTGAGTAGTAGGAGTAGCATGTGATTGATCTTGCAGGCAGATATCTCGGTGTCAGACTAATTTCAATTTTCAATACAAAATGTGCATGGAAGAATAAAAAAAGACAACGAAAGATGAATTATGAAATTCCTCGGAAATTTAGTTGCGCCACTCACAGCTGATCTTAGAAATGTTCATTTCAACCAATAGTTTCATTATTTATGCGATTTGATAAAATTCGTGAAAGAAAAATTAACTTAGCCCTTGCACGTACTGTGTTTTGTTCAGGAAGGACATTTCAATTTGTCTAATATGTCTTTTTTCTCTTCCTTTTTAAATAATTAGGTTTTTTTATTATGATAAAGACGTTTCGAGGTCAACTGCTTCCTTTTTCAGTTTATTTAAATGTAGAATAAAAAGAATTTCTTATTCTATTTTTAGTATCCAATCCTGCCTATTTACGTCTATGTTCTTCTTTTCAATGATGGGACGGATGACGAAAACATATAAACCTTTCGTCTAGTATTACCGTCTTGTCCATCCATTCCACTAGCGAAAAGAAAAACATACATACAAAAAAGGCAGGATTGAACACTAAAAATAGAACAATAAATTCTTTTTATTTTACATCTAAATAAACTGAAGAAGGAAGTAGTTGATCTCCGAAACGTCTTTATCATAATGAAAATATCTAATTAATTAAAAAGGAAGAGAAAAAAACAATACTAAACCAGTTCACCTACTTTTTCAGTAGATTAAATAGTTTTTATCTTATAAGGCGGTATTGAGTAGGTAACATTTCATTCTCATTTTGACTGATGTCTCAATGATCATGTGAATTCTATCCCAAATATGGATTTTCTTCGTATTTGTTTTTTGATATAGCTAAATTTAGAAACAAATCAGCATACCAATTGGTTCTCTGATATCTCCCGTAATGATGGGAATATGTCCTTTCTCCTTTTGATTATCCACTGTCGCTTTCAATTTTTCATCGAATTGATTAGTATTTGTTGATCCAATAGCTAATCGCCGTAGAAGAGCCGCTAAAGCTAATTTCTTAGCGTCTTGAGCTATGCGTTGTCGATTGAATTCAGCCTTCACTTCTCGCCGTGCTTTTTCATCTATATACGACGTAAGCATAGATTCCAATATAATATAGATGTAACACGTCTTTGTCACATTATCTCATATATTAATTCTTTACATATCAACCGATAGAACTTTTTGGAGGTGATAGTTTTTAATTTTTTTCGATGCAAGTCTTTATAGCAATCATTCTGACCGACTGTTGTTTTCTCTTTTAAACAATTCGCTTAATTGAATAAGTAAAGTTTGGTACCTTATTGAAAGCTTGAAACTATTCATTTCTTACAAAACATAAGTGACATTAACTGACAGAAAACAAAATTCTTCAGATATCCGTTTCCTATTGAAATCTAATCACTCTAACTCTAAAAATCAGTCGTTTAATGTATCAATACTTCTTTATATTTTTTTGATGAAAATGAAACCAGTCATGACATTATGACTCAGAATGAAAAGTTCAGTACAGACGTATTTATTTCATACACTTTTTTTTTATCAAAAATTTAATCTTGACCTTTCTCGAGAGTCAGTAAAATCGATCGTTTTAAAATGTTATTTCAATCCTCCTGAGAGTCAATTTCAAAAATGATAATAACGGATGTGTCTGGCTTGATAGACCTCTCGATATTTTTCCAATGAATTTTTTGATTTTTATCGAATCAAGCTGATTCTTTTTTGTTTAAAAAAAACTCTTCATCTGAATATCCTTACAAAACTGCTCTTTTAATCATCATAAATAGCTTCTATTATTTCAAGAAAATTAATGCAAACGATTAGCTCAACTTGTCAACTTTCGATGGCAACTGATTCACGGATATTTTTAATTATTAAATCAGTCTTTCATTGCCTATGACCATGTTTCAATGAACAGCGTTGTTAAGCTCATACAAATCGAATACTCAAAAGGATTTAAATCCAGAATTTTCGAACACCAATGAATCTTGTCAATAAACGCTGTAATACTATCTCGGTATCATTGTTGTGTTAAATGATGCGAGTGTGATCTTTTATTATTCTGCTGGAGGATCCAGTAGTTACCGAAAACTTTATTCTTACATTTTAAGACTATGTGACGTACTTTTTCGATAGAACAACTATGATGGTAAGTCTCTTTATCCAAGATCGCCTAGGGTATTGGATCTCCCCTCAACTCATACTCACACTCACATTGATGTAGTACACCAACAGAGAAAGAGAAGCTTAGAGTATTAAGTTAATCAATATCAATGCACTGTTTACGCCATTTCCTTATAAAAAAGAACATAAACATGGCCTTTCGCTTCGTACCAATAGAGAGAGGCAACATTTCTCTAACGATTTGTGTTTTCATTTTTATCAAAAATGTGTTTAAACAGAGAATACCCAGTGAAAAATATTCCGAAGAAAATCCAGATTATTTTTGATTAGCGACGGATAAATCCGATTTTTCAAACAAAACTTCTATCTTTTCTACAAGAATCCGATTAAAATCGATTAAAATTCTATAATCGATTGTAAAAT